CTTCAATAGGCTATATGAAGAGAAATATTACAATAAACAATTCCGGGACTCTAAAACATTCAAACATTGTACAATAATTATCACGCTTTCAATTTTATAATTATAATTTTTAATTTTTATTAATTTTTGGGTATATTTATTAATTTAGTATATTATTTAAATAATAACTATTTGTTAAATAATAAATGTGTTTTTATTTTTAACATATAATGTTTTTATATTACACATAATTGTAAAATAAAACAAAGAAATCATTTAAGGTAGATAAAATAAATTATATTTGATTTTAAGTTTTTATTAAATCTTTTAGGAAAATTAAATCTTAAATTATTTGTTTCAGTTTTTATAATTATAATTTTCCGTTTTTCATTAATTTTGCTAGGAAATTTTATTTATATAGTATTTTTATATAATAACTCTATGTTTTCAAATAATAACTATGTTTTCATTTTTAACATATAATTATGTGTAAAATAAAGTATATAAATCATCTAAGGTAGATGAAATATATTATTTTTATAATTTTTAGTTTTTATTAATTTTTTGGAAAAATTAAATCTTAAATTATTTATTTCAGTTTTCATAATACTATTTTTTAACTTGTATTAAAGATGAAAAACAATCCAAAAGTACTCAATGTATAATTTTGTCAAACTAGACACGGATACACTTCAATATCGGAGTGTATCAGACTGTATCCACCAATTTTGTCAAACATGACTCATAAGATACATATCCAGTCGTAACGTATACTGTATCCATGATCATGAATATAGATACGATACACTCTGTATGGAAGTATCGTATTGATACCTTAATCCTTGCTTGTTTTGGCTCGTAATCTGGTTTTGAACCGGATCCATACACATACATGTGTCTGATTGAAAAAACGCACGGGAAGTGAGAATCTGATTTTCTAAAAACTGACGGAGAGTCAAAATGACTGACGCCCAAAAACCGACAGAAAGTCCACTTATTGGTTAGCAAAGAAAAATCAGAGAATTTGAGACAAAGATTTAAGTACCGCAACATGCTCCCCTATTCAAGCATGAAACATTAGTTTGAGAATGAAGTCTGGGAATGAAAATGTTAGTCTAAGAATGAAAGATTGCAATGAATTCTACAAAAGCAACACTATAGATACCTCTTGAATCGAACAAAAACAATAGAAAACTAAACGAAACAGTTGGAATCATAGAACAAAAGGTGTTGGAAAGGAAAAAAACAAGGAAAATCGGACGTTATCTAAACATACCTCTTAGGCCCCGTTCGTTTTTTTCTAAGTTACTTACTCAGGTAAATGTATTTATCATTGTTTTTAAAACCGAACCGGTGATCAAATCGGCATGTTTTGACAAAAAAATTAAAAAAATTGAAAAATGATCAAAACCGTTCGAACGGTTAACCAGCAGGTTCAGCGGTTTGCTGACCAAAATCAACAGTTTTGGGAAAAAACAAAACTAGTCAAGTGACCAGTTTCTGGTTTTTTGGTCCGGTCCGGTTTTGAAAACCATGGTATTTATCCAGGTAAGTGTTTCCCAAGAAAGACTTACTCGGATAAGTGCATTTACCCATGTTCTTTTATTTCCCATGTAAATAAGGCAATGACCATTTTAGCCATAAAAATCCATTATTAAAAGGAGCATTTTTGTCTCATTCAAGTGTTGGCAATTTTACCCCAAGTGGGAAAATTATTTATCCACCTAGGAGATGGGTATCACTTACCCGAAAAATAAACTTTCCCTGATCCCCACATAAATATCAAAAAGGAACATGGGATTCTTGGTCAATGAGAATCAAAATCCCATTGACAAACTTTCCCCCCTCTCAAAATCCAAAAATAGAACGTCCCCTTAGAATCTTACGCTCTCTAAAACTCTATTTACATATACGTTCATTCAAAGAAAGCCGATTTTTATCAATTACATGATTCCTGCTTCTATCCACGACCATCATATCTAGCTTTCCATAAAGACACATTCCTTAGTGTGAAGTGGAATGGAAAGACACTAAGACTTAAGACTCAACAGTTTGAGAGTGGTGGGATAAGGGGAGGAGAAAGAGTCAAAGAGAATGCAGGGTTGGGGTAATCAAACAAGCAGAAGCATGATATATATATATATATATATATATCATGGTAGTGAAGAAATTTTTTTATTTTTTTTATTTCATGTCATTTTTTAAAGAACCAATGAGATGCTCTCCTTCCCCATAAAAAATTATCTAAAATCTCTCTCACCCACATGTTCCCAACAATCTCCTCTCCTAAAATTTATCCTAAACTACCATCCCCACTTTCTCCTAAATCATCTCCACCTCCTGCTTATCTCCTAACTTATCTCTAATTTACTACTTACTAGAGAATTTCTCTCTAAATTATCTCTAATTCCTATTTATCCTCTTTACCACTTTTTATCTATATCTATCTAAAGAGAGTTTAAATTAAAAAAAATTAAGAATTATTTAAATATTTTAATAAAATATATAATAACTTTAAAATATTATTAAAAAACAAAAAATAATTATAATAGATTTAATAATATTCATATTATTAAAAGTTTTATATTTCTACAAAATTCATCATAAAACTATGTACAAACAATATAAATTATGATTTTCCAGATTATTCAAATTAAATGTTATTCAAATAATAGAAATTTAACATTAAAAAAATAAAATATTATTTCAATATTTTAATAACTAAATATCTTAAATTCAAATAATAAGTATTTTTAAATATTTTATATATTATTTAAATATTTAAAACTAAATATTTTAAATAACAAAATATTTAACATAACTATATTTCAAATAGTTAAAATAACGAATTTATGCAATAAAATAAAAAAAATCATAACATAATATTCAAATTAATAATAATTTAATATTTTTACAAAATTAATAATGAGAATATGTAATAATAGTATAAACTTTAAAAAGTTTTTTAAAAACAATAATATACATACTATTAATAGTTTTATATTTTAAAAAATTTCATCATAAAATTATGTACTAACAATATAAATTATGATTTTCCAGATTATTCAAATTAAATGTTATTCAAATAATAGAAATTTAACATTAAAAAATAAAATATTATTTCAATATTTCAATAACTAAATATCTTAAATAATAAAATACTAAAAATAGCTAAATAATTACATATAAAAATATTTAATTATTTAAATATGTCAATAACTAAATCTTAAATTCAAATAATGAGTATTTTTAAATATTTTATATATTATTTAATTATCTAAATAACTAAATATTTTAAATAACAAAATATTTAACATAATTATATTTTAAATAGTTAAAATAACGAAATTATGCAATAAAATAAAAATATCTTAAAATAAAAAAAATCATAACATAATATTCAAATTAATAATAATTTAATATTTTTACAAAATTAATAATGAAATTATGTAGTAATAGAATAAATTCTAGTTTTATAGATTATTAAATTCATTAAATATTTAAAAATATAAAATTAAATAAAGATATTATTTAAATAACTAAATAATATTTTAAATACCCAATTTCAATTATATCAATTAATAATTATAGAAAAATAACTTTCAAAAAATAATATTCATTAATAATGATTTTAAGATATTAATCTATATTTATTATATATTTAATATACTAAAATTAATATTTATTGTATTTCCAACAATTATTTATAGTTTTTTATGATAAATATATTTTCAATAATTATGTATAAATATATATTTGTTTTGCTATTTAACAGAAATTATTGGATATTAAACTAATGTTATTTAACTTTTTAAATTTAATTTATTATACTTATTGTATTTTTGTTGTACTTTATTCATTGATATTTATTAGAGATTAAAGTATTATTTGGGATTACAATATTTATTGACAAACTCAATATATTGTTTAGTATTGTTTGTATTTTTGTATTTATTTTATTTTTATTAGTTATTTATTTTATTTTCACTATCAATATATTTTCAATAATTGTGTATTTTTGCTATAAATTTTTAATAATTATTGGAGATTAAACTACTTTTATCTACTAGAGGTTAAAATATTAATTTAGATGAAATTAGGAGTGTTGATCATGGCCTGGTTTAGTTCGGTTATAGGCTATTTGGCCAACTAAATCGACATGGTCAGGTTAGGGAGTTGGTTACCTGAAATCTACTGACCATTAGTGAAAACTAAGTAAATCAAGTTGTATTGGTTTGGGTTGATTTTCAGTTTGCTCAATTGGTTTAAAAGATTAAATCAAAAACTTAATTTTAAATTTAAAAAATTACATTAATATTATTAAAAAATAAATTTATAATATAAAATATTTGAGACTAAGAAATATGGGAATTTCCCCACCTTCCCGCATTAAAAAATTATATTTAAAATATAAAATATTAATATATATATATATTTGTGATTGGGTAATTTGATTTTGGTCAATTTACAAATGACCACAATGAAATTGATCCAATTTCAACTAGAAATATTAGAAACTGAACGGTTCAGGTTGAATTTGTCGGGTTGATTGGTTTCATCAGTTTGATGAACAAATTTAATTGAAATAAATTATTGTTATTTTTGTATTGTAAAAAGTTATTAAAAATGTTATAAAATATAAATAATTAATAATTATTTAAAAAATTAGAAATATAAACATTGTATACTCTTGTGTGTTTTATTGTTTAAATTTCTTTAACAAATCCTGTACATCGCACGGGTCCTGCTTAATATATATACGTATATAACGGGACTTCTGTGTAATCATAACACAGGCTGGTAAAACGTGACAGTTGCTATTGGATCTGACGTGAATTTTTGACGTGTTTATTTCTGATTGGATATTAATGGCCAGTGTTGCACATCTTGTTTCTAGCAGATCCCCATTCCGCAGTCCTTATCTTTTAGATCATAGGACCAGAATGCTTACGATGTGGAATGCATTCAAATCTCTAGTGCCTCCATTAATAACATTTGTTATCTTTAAAGAACTTGACCATTCAAAATTGATTGTTGTGGATGACTGATCATTCTCTAGGTAGCACTGGGAGGTTGATGATTACAATAAAGGAAATACTTGTATATTTCAGGGATACAAAGAAAATTGCTGAGCATCTCTGTTTCACCTTACATGACGGCTAGCTGCCTCACATTGATAGGGAATACAATTGGTTCTGAACCGTCAAAGATATTATCTGTAAAAATGCGAGCAGCTGCCTCCGTAGGATGGTAGAGATCCCAGAAGACGTGATCTCTTCTGTTGGGACAATAGCTTGAAATGGGCAGGCAAGCAACCTTGGCGTTAAGGTTTCCAAGCCCACAACAAGCCGCTTTAACCTCGGTAAATCCTGTATACCACCGGGAAACGAGTCAAGGTTAAACTTATACTGCATTATCCGGTATCTGAGTTCACATTGGCGCCCCATATGCAATATTTCAACGTGTATTATTGGGAACATCTTTGTACTTTGTCAGTAGGAGATGTTTTTGATACATCGTTGGGATGTGTTGTGAAACACTCTGTGGGGTGTCAATGTAAATTCAATCCAAGTTCCCCTCCTTCCAAAAAAAATATGGAGAAGCATACTTCAGTCCACTGCAGAATTCTGAAATTACAGCCTTTCGTAGTGTATTAGTAGCATTTTATAAATCGCATTCTGCTCATAAATTTGACATCAATTCATAGTCATGATTCATTCCATCTGTACATGGGACTAAAAATTCTGAAGTGGACTGAACAATCATTCTCCTAAAAAATCATTAATAATAAATAAATAAAGACAAATAAAAAAGATTTGCTCAACAATCGATGGCATTCGGATTGCTGATTACCTATTAGCGGGATCCACTGTTGTTTGATCCCATAAGAATGCACCTTCGATCATGTAAATACTATTTACATGGCATTCTATACTTAACATGGTTGAAGGTGCTTTGCTATTGGGATCTAGGAATGGATTCCCACTTATAGGTGAGCAGTAGATCCAGAACTCATTTTGACGTACCATAAGCAGCTGGTTTTTGGATGAAGTTGAGTAGAAGAGTGTAAGTATCAAAAAATGAATAGTTCATGTCCTTGAGTTCAGACTTCAATTCCTGCAGCAGTGATATGAAACCTTGATTGTACTTAAGAGACCAGTAATTTGCTTGCTCATGGCATTCCCCTGTTTGGTTCTGGTTCCTTTGCGACGGGCAACATCCTATGGCCCCGGCTCCAACCACGGCCAACTTACGCGCACCCAGGCTGTATAGTCGCTGCAATGAAAATGAATATCAAACACAAAACATAAGACGAGGAATTAATCAGGAATACTTGAGTCATTTGATTATTGATTGGTGAGACTGAGTGAGCAAGGTCCGACTATCCTCTTAGGCCCGTTCATTTTTCTGTAAGTTATTTATTTAGGTAAATGTATTTAGAAAAACTTATCCGATTAAGTGTATTTATCCATATTCTTTTATTTCTCATGTAAATAGGTATGTCCAATTCAAGTGTTAGCAACTTTTCCCCGGTGAGAAAGTTAATTACCCACCTAGGAAATGGATAAATAAACTTTCCCTAATCCACACATAAATCTAAAAAAAAAAAATACGGGATTCTTGATCAATGAAAACTAAAATCCTATTGACCAACTTTCCCCCTCTCAAAATCTAAAAAAAAAACGCCCCTTTGTGTGTTTTACTACCTTTAACTGTCCTCTTAATGTAAATATCATCAGATCTATATACTGCTGGGGAGTGTATTTATCACGGAGGGTGGATCCTGAGCCGAAGTAACCCAGTATGTCATTGCTTCCGATCACGATGCCGTATAACGATTTTGAAAAATACGTTTGGGCTTCAACGGTTCCTAGCTGCTGCACCAGATCCCCGTATACCGTTGAGTAGTACTCGATCTGTTTGTTGAGCGAGATTGATTGTTTCTGAAAGTGGCAATTGGCAATGAAAGTGAAGCTACTACCACAGTTAGAATTCATTGAAATTCAAAAAAACAAGACATAAATAGTAGCCAAACAAGCATGTGCTAGTAAGGGTTCATAAAGAACAAAATTATTCAATGCTACCAAGGAAACTGATTAGAGCACGTTCCGTTTTAACAAACAGGATTCAATGTCAGGGAAAGGCATAATTTATACTTAAAACAATCTGTGCTGCGGGGATAGCTCAGTTGGGAGAGCGTCAGACTGAAGATCTGAAGGTCGCGTGTTCGATCCACGCTCACCGCATTATTTTGATCATCTCCCATAAATAACATTTTATCCGTGAATTTGACATCAATCTTCACCCTTAAGGGTGGACTGAACTGTTCAAACCCCAAAAAAAATCATCTCGGCCCAGTCGAACGAGGATCCAGAACATCTTGCCAGCTGGCGATTCAAAACAAAGTGTGATGAATCCAAGACTTCAAATGTATTACATCCATAAACATGACCCAAAACCCATGTGAAATTAACCCCTCGGTCAACATAACCGGTAAGATGAAATACAGACCACTTGCCAATTCGCATCATCTCTGAAAACCCTGTCGTGATTCGTGATAAACAAGGAAGGCTGTGATTCACACTTTTAGCTGATTTTTGAGCCTGGTTACGTGAATACGTGTCTATCAGTTCAGTAAAGGTGCTCGGAAGATGGAATGAGCTTTTTTTTTTTTTTTTTTTTCATTTTAGCGGACCAGACCAGATACGGTGGTTGTAGCTGGTGAGAAGGAGTACACTACCAACACAACCAAAAGGAAGATCACCCTACCAAACTCTCTATCTCACGCATATACACACAAAGACAAGAGTGCAGAGTGCTTACAAAAAGTGTATCAGTGCCATCCAAAATTCCAGCTCCTCCCGAAGCAAAGCTAGCTCCACCCAGGAATGCATTGCTCTTATTGGTGGCTGATACCAGTGAGAGATAAGGCGGCGATGTCTGCAATCCCAGCTTCTCAGCTGTCCAAACAAAATCAAGATGATAAGCTTCTACCTCTGTTACTCTATACAGCGATACCAATGGTTATTGTTACAGCTACAGTTGAGTTTCTCAAATAATAGGACGCAGAGGCAGAGCTCTCCTGTTTGCCTGGGTAGGGTAGCTAAAGTAAGTAATCTTAATGCTCTCACACAATTACCAATTTAGAGCGCCAAGACTGTATAATGGGATAGAAAACAAAAATATTAAATATCTGGTCTGGTTTCCTCAGAAAAGACACACGCCTACAGTTCGTACATATATATGCCATCTAATCTGCTCTGTTTGCTTAATAGATTTAGCTTAATTATTATGTTAGGTAAGATTCCCTATGAACGTGAAGAGTTCACCCAACTATCCAAGTTGATGATTAGACGCTTTTCAGTAATGTGAAAGAAATAAAGAGTAACTGAAAAGAAGAGATAAGGATGATGTGTTTGATTATGGATAGAAAAGAATAGAAATTCATGGTAAGAAAGATCATGGGCCTCATGGCAATGAATGTTTTATGTAAATTAAGGTTGTCTACACACTCTGTATTGATGTGGTTTCACGTACCCAGAAAGTCTGCTGCATTCCTCCCATTACTGAACCTGCCGGTGGGCTTCTTTCCTGGAAAATCAACGCCGTTGTGAGGGAAATCGGCCTTGGCAAGTGAAAGCTTGAGGTGATTGTTGTTGCCCACATCCACTAGGGAGTCTCCAAACATGAATATGGCCGGGACAAGTTGAGTCTCCGTGTAAATGAAGCTGAAGATGAAAAGATACAGAAGAGAGATCCAACTGGCCATTACTCTGTGTGTGTGTGTATATAACCGAGGATCAGATCGAACGTGGTGATGGGTTTTTAAAGAGTGTAGGAATGTCGATGATAGAATGTGCTTTTTTGACTATAGGAAGCAAAGACGCGACATTATTTTGGAAGCCGCGTGAGCTAAAGCTTTGGATAGTGGAAGAAGAACTGGGCCTCCTTTTTTTAGTGATTTAGTCCTAAGCCTCTTTATAGTTCACACTTGAATTGTCTGGGCTCTAATCGATAAAGCAAGCATTCACCTTCACTCTTCATGTGGTTTTACAGGAATGAAATTAAATGATCCTGTGTCAAAGACTTCCAAGCAACGAGCCTCTTGAGGAATATATACAGCTTAATTTGGACACTCCTCCCTTGTTCCACCAAGGTTGACGGAGTCTGGTGGGGGGTCCAATGGGAGGTCCTCAGCCTCACATGACAACAAACCCTTGGACAAAAGGGGCCCCAAATATCCAACGGAGGTGTTTATTATGATAGACAATTTCCGTTCATTTTCTAAATGAAATTGCCACAGGAGGTGTTTATTATGAAAGTTCAAGAAAGAAGTAAAGGTGGTTAAGTAAAACACCACCCATAGACCATAGTATAAGCTAGGAAGGTATATGGAATTTACCCTCTAATAATTTTGTTCAGTGCATTCCTTCTTTTTATTGTTGCCGAAAGCAAAGAGGTCCCGGTGGTGGGTCGGCCCATATGGTAAAATATGATGGACCACGTACGAGCACACAGCCGAATGCCAATGATGTCGAATCTTAAGTTCACGATAGGAATCGAATAGACTTAAATCTGGTGGTGGGAATCGAATAGACCCACCATATGCAATTCTAAGCTTGAGCCCAAGAATCTGGACAGCTCACTGTAAGTTGGATTTGTAGGGTTATTTGCCGCGCGCGAATAAAATAGTTGAGCTGTGTTTGGGTGGTGACTCACTCACTGCTCCCCTCCCACAGGCCACAGTACAATGTAGAAGTAGAGTTGTGTCATAGGACTTGGTGGGGCGTTGAGGCAAAGGAACCGATCACGAGTTCACGACCCAACTTACGCAGTTACGCTCAAGTCTCGAGTCTCAAATATTGGCTTCGCGAAAATTCGACTTATTTTAACTTTACAAGGCGGAATCAAAATTAGTCAAAACTCCAATACTTTTGTTTATATATGTTCACATTTATCGATCGATCCAATCCACAGTGCTTTCGGAGGGGTCACCTTCTGTGCAGTGTGCATGACTCGCATGCGTTCTTGTCTCTTATGTTATTATCCTCGACTCTGAAATTCTTGACCAAAATCTTCCATCAATTCCTCTCCCATCAACGAAGTTTCTGAATTTACACAATTGGTTCTCCCACATTGACCTTTCGCCCACGTCTTGATTGTTGATTCATTTGACCAAGCCGGCCTCATGTGAGACACCATTTGCCAACGGAATAAGAGATGGGAAACACCGGCCGGCCGCTTCGAATTTGGATGTACAATTGGTTTGAAGGAAAAGGTAGGGAAATCTATACAAGGTTTGTAAAGATTTCCCTACATTTTCTTCAAACTAAATACAGCCTAAGGGACTTAGTGTTTGGGAGTGGCAATTTTTCATTCAACCCATTCAACCCTCTCAGTCCGTCCATTTACTTGGAGCGTTGGAAATTGGTTGATCATGGGTTGGGTCAGGTTGGGTTATGGATAACTATTAGATTAACCACTAATGGTAAAGTGTGTCTTTAGCCTTTTTTTTCATTTGAATGAAACAATTTATAATTAACATATTAATTTTTTATTAATTATTAATTAAAATTAGTTTTGACTCAAATGAACATAGTTCACCCAAATTGACATAAATCCAAATCACCGAACCTAACTCCAAACTGGTCCGGCTTAGTTCAACCTAGTCTGAATATGAACAGACCCGACTACCTTGGTTTGATCCATTTTGGTCAATCGGTCCAGTTTGAACCTATCCTGATCTGGGTTGGTCCAAATCCGAGCTGGTCTGGCCCGACCCCATATCCAGGCCACTTGGACTAGTTACCTTGACCCGGTTCGGACCAATCAGCTTTGTTCAGAACCCTACACAACCCAATATAGACCAATTCGGTCTGACCTGAAACCAGACCAATATGGATTGCCCACCTTGATCCAGTTTGGGTCGGTTGACTCAGCCCGAAACCTTTGCACAACCCAATATGGACCAGTCCAAGCCAACCGATCAAATCCAAATGCTTCAATCACTCTTGATGTGAGTAGCTCGAAGATAAATCCAATTAGATAGTTCAAGTTGGTCTAACCAATTTGAACCAAAGTGGTTTGATCAAACTTGAAACCCAAACATAGTCGATGGCTTCAAGTAATTAATTGCTTTTTATTTTTCTTGTAAAAATGATATGCATGTAATGTAATTTGAACATTCACTACTTGTATAAACAATAACTAGTAATAGACGACTTTCATTTTGCAAGAGTTGCCCTTTAGGAAAAGCTCATAAGCTTCCCTTTTCTTTTAGTGTTACTTCTTATTATTCTCCTTTGGAACTTGTTTATGCTGATCTTTGGTGTCCCTCCTCTCCTCATGGTTCTAAATATTATATTTTATTTGTTGATGCATATAGAAAATATCAATGGATTTATCCTTTGGTTAAGAAGTCATATGCTTTGAGTGTGTTTATCAAGTTTAAAAACCATGTTCAATCTGATGGAGGTGGAGAGTTTTATGCATTCAAAAATTTATTGGAAACTCACGGTATCATGCATCGTCTCTCTTGTCCTCACACTCAATAACAGGATGGTTCTGTTGAGAGGCGTCACCGACATGTGGTGGAAACTGGTTTAACTTTACTTGCTAACTCAAGAAACCTCCTGATTATAAGTTTCTCAAGTTTTTGGGTGTGAGCGTTTTCCACTTCTCAGACTATACAATGCAAAAAATTTGGAGTTTAGGTCATCTTCTTGTATTTTTGTGGGTTACTGTGATCAGTATAAAGGGCTGTCGTTGTTTGCACATACCAACTTGATGAATTTACATCTCATGACATGCTAGATTTGATGAAGTTTCTTTTCATTTTTCTTCAATCACTATGGCATCTTCCGTTGTTGAGACATCTCATTGTGTGCCATTGGTCCACCTCCTATTGTTCATCGTCAGCCCATTGATAATATTGCATCACCTCCATCCCCAACATCTTCTACATCATCCACTTATCGAACACTTGCTGAACCATTGGCTATTAGTGACAAATCTTCATCTTCTTCGTCCTCACCAACTCCACTCCTTCCATTTCCCTTGGTTCATAATGATCATCCAACGATCACACGAGGGAAGAGTGGCATCTTCAAGCCCAAGACTTATCTTGCTACTTCTTATCCTCTTGAAATGACCGAACCCACATCACACACTTTGGCACTTCAAGATCCCAATTGGCACGCAACTATGCAAGATGAACTTGATGCATTAGCACATAATAATACATGGACTCTTGTTCTTCGTCAACTAGGTATGAACTTAATTGGTTGTAAGTGGGTTTTTCGTTTGAAACAAAACCCAGATGGTTCTATTCAACATTACAAGGCAAAGCTTGTTGCCAAGGGCTACACTCAGCAGGCTGGACTTGATATGTTGATACTTTCTGTCTTGTCATTAAACCCACTACTATTTGGATTATTCTAAGCTTGACTATCTCACATAATTGGATCATCCGTCAGTTGAATATCCAAAATGCCTTTTTACATGGTGATTTACATGAGGATATCTTTATGCAACAACCTTTGAGATTTTCAAGCCAGGAATTTCCTTTTCATGTTTGTCACTTGCGTAAGTCATTGTATCAACTCAAACAAGCCCCTCGTGCTTGGTTCCATAAATTGGCTTCTTTCTTGCTAGAGTTTGGTTTTCAAGCCTCAAAAGCCGACACGTCTTTGTTTATTCTTACAAACAACTCTCAAGTCTTGTACGTATTGATATAAGTTGATGATATCATCGTAACTGGCTCTAACTCCTCTCAAGTTATGGATCTTGTTACAGCTATGGGCCATGCCTTTGTAGTGAAAGATCTTGGCCCACTTCACTACTTCCTTGGCATTGAGACATTGAAAAATTCTGATGGCTTGTTTTTGTCTCAACGCAAATACATTGGGGATTTACTACAACGAGTGCAGATGGATGGAACCAAGCCCATTTCTACACTTATGGCATCATCTACTCGACTTTCTCAATCTGATGGTGATCCATTCGCTGACCCTTCAACTTTTCGCAGTGCTGTTGGTGCAGTGTAATATCTAACAATCACTAGGCCCGATATTGCCTTCTCTGTAAACAAAGTGTGCCAGTTTCTTCACAAGCCCACTACTATTCATTGGGTTACTATCAAACGCATATTGTGTTACCTTAAACACACTATGCATTACTGGTTTACAAATTCGGCCATCTAATTCTTTTCGTCTCCATGCTTATTCTAATGCAGATTGGGTGGGTTGTCCAGACGATAGACGTTCCCAAGGGGGTTATTATGTGTTTATGGGCCCTAATTTGATTTCTTGGTCTTCCAAGAAACAACGCACCATTTCTAGATCCAACATTGAAAGTGAATGTTGCAGTATAGCTCTTGCTACATCTGAACTGTTATGGCTTTGTTCTTTGCTCTTTGAGATCGGTGTCTCCTCTAGAGAACCTCCTATTTTATGGTGTGATAATTTAGGGGCAACTTATCTTACAGCTAATCCAGTCTTTCATGCGCGTACAAAACACAATGAGATTGATTTCCACTTTGTATGTGAACAAGTTTCAAAGAAATCTCTCATTGTTCAATTTATTACTTCCACGGATCAAGTCGCTGATATCTTCACCAAGCCTTTGTCTTCACCTCATTTTACTTTTCTTCACTCCAAGCTGACCGTTCTTCCATGCCCGATCAGCTTGCGGGGGATGATAAAGATCAGTGTCGTTATATGGCAGATAATGGAGATAAGAATGGCCAAATGTCAAGCATAGGATAACAGCATACCAATGTTTATGGACAACTGATAGAACTAATTCTTAACCGACAGAACTAACTCTTATCTTTGTAACTAACATCTTTTGTATCTCTAATTTTTGACAAGTGTACAGTTCCTCTGTTTATAAATATATATAATTCTTAATCTTGCCCTGTTGTGAGACGAGATCTACAAAAACTGGTCTTTGTTTTAATAGTGTCCAGATCTGCTGCTGAGGCCAAATATTGAGCCATGGCCTCTACTGCATGCGAATTTACCTGGTTGCAATTCTTGTTGACTGATCTTGGCATATCCCCACATAAAGCTATCATGTTTTGTGACAATCAATCAGCAATTCACATCGCTGCCAATCCAATCTTCCACGAGAGGACCAAGCATATTAAAATTGATTGTCATCTCATTCGTGAGAAGATCCAAGCTAGTCTCATTGTAACATCTTATGTTCCTTCCGAATATCAGATTGCTAACGTGTTTACAAAGTCGTTAGGTCATGATCGTTTTCATTCTCTTGTCTCCAAGTTGGCCTATTCAATCCATAGACCGGGGGGTGTTATGATAGCCAGACTCCATACACAACATTACAATTCATGGAGGACTTCAATATGTAGATATGTATTATCATGTATTTTATCTTTATTATCCTTTTATTTGTTTTTGTAATTATCCTCAGTTCACATTCTTTGGGATTATAGCTGTATTTAACCCAGATCAGCTCAAGATAATAAACTGATTCATCACAATGCCATTCCTCACTATCTATAAGGAGAGAAGGGATGTTGATGCTCCAGCGCCCTTCTAATTAGATGGACAACCGAGATTGTTCTTGGAATGCTGAAAGCCTGAAACCACTATCAAATTGGAAGATTGATACTACGCAGTTGGTTGGTACAGTTGGAAAGTTGTATTTACAAACAAACATTTATTTGGTACAGTTGGAAAGTTGTATTTACAAACAATTTCATGTCATTCTGGATGGATTTCGTTACCCATACTCCCAGCCTCTCACAGCTTTCCTCTCTTATTTGCTCACATACCCATCTAAGGAACCGTTAGACCAAAAAAGCTGAAGCTCTTAGGTGATGTCTCTAACAGTTACTGAGTTGCCAAAAAGGAAATTCATCCTTTTGTGAGTGCCTTCTAACATTCACAAGGTAGGAACTGTCAACCCGTAGCAAAATGTTGCCATCTAACAGTGGGGAGTTTTGGAACTGGAAACAGACCAAAACCAAGTTTGACCATCAGACCATTGGTATTAGGGTACAACTCACCAATGCAATTTTCCTTCATCTTGTTTCAAGGTATGGTTTCTCGATTTGCCACCTCGATCTGACTTAAAGAAAAAAAGAAAGATTATAAGAAGAATGCAAGCTTTTTATTAGTTGGCTTTTTTGAACCGGGGTGGGTGGACCATTGAACCGCACATGCAGAAATAACAACTGATAATTACTCCAATTTAATTTCCGTATGTGTGCGGTGTGCCGGAACTGGTTCATGTATTTACCATTACTATTACATGGTAGAGCCTCAGAGAAGGTCTTATCTTCAATGGAGGATCACAGTTTACATGAAATTCCAATTCGCCACTCGCCAGTTGGTAAATGGGGCCACCGTTCACACTAGAATGAATAATGACCGACCACTGAGTACCCCAAACAAATAGAAGGAACGCGATGGAGCGAGTCTACACCCCAGTTGGGAAGAGATGCCGGGATGGCCCATATCATTTCTTCCTTTTTCTTTCTTTCTTTTTTTCTTTACTGTATCTAAGATGCTATCTCCATGGATCATTTGAAAATATTCCAGAAAAAATAAAAAATAAAAGCAGAAAGAAGAAAAAGTAAGAAAACTAAAAGACAGATAATGAATAGTTCATTATTCAGACCAAAATCAAATGATTCCCACCAGTAAAAAGAAATCAAAGTTCTAACATCTAACAACTCTTCTATCTCTAATTGGCCTCTCCAGCTTCTAAACAAAAGCAACTTTTTTATATAGATAAAGGCCCCCTAAAAAGGGTCTAAAGAATTTTCAATTTCTTCCCTCCCATGGCTCCATCTTGTTGCTTGGTGACAAACTGAAAAAAAGAATCCCAAAGAAAAGAAAAGAAAAAGCTCCCCCACTTTTCCCGGCTTTCCTGTGAACAGAACAGGGGATCCACATTCCACAGTACTCAGTACCCACCAAATCCATCAATTCATCATTCTGTGCTCGTAAACGAAACAATCATTCTTGCAATGGAAAGGTATAGAGTAGTCTCCGCTCCTCTCCTCTTCATACCTTGTCACACGATGTTCAATTTAACAAAAACAATTCGTCGATATTTTCTTCTTCTCTCCCTTTTTTTTATCTTTGGTTTTTACCTCACTGTGGCGTCATAATTCATAAATAGCAAAAGTGATGGAAGCTAACAAGAGGACAAGAAGATAAGCACGTGAAACCTCGGGCCTTCCAGTCGCTCTGACTGTGCCCACTGCCGCTGCTCCACTTGTGTCCGCCTCGCTTCTAGCTGCCTTCGTCTTCTTGCTTCTCTTCTTACTGCAATTAATCAACCACCATTAACACTAAAATCAGCAGAGATTATCAATTACTACTAACATAAAACATTTCCTAATCTACTTTCTGTTTCGATTAACGAAAATTCTTTCTTTCTTCTGATCTTTGAAATCTGAATTCTGAAAGGCATCTCTGCCAGTCTTGGGAAAAGAAACCCAGTAGTACTAAGTTGAAGGACGTCAGAGAGGACAAGAAACCCGGCCATGTCTCACCTTCCAGGAAAAATACAATTCCCGTGACCTGTCAACACAAACACACCTCAATAATTAATTTCCACCGCGCCGCACTTCAAGCCATAATGGCCAATGAACCGAAGAAAATGATTCCTTTTGCAAATTGCAACCAAAAAGACAAAAAGAAAGTATAGCAGAGTGTAAGCATATTAGCAGAGAAATTCAGTATTATTCTTGCTTCTTTTAGCAAACCTGGTTGAGGTCCAAGCTCTAACCTAGTTCTATACGTACGACCCATTTACAATCAAATCCCAGATTAACAAATAATTTTCAAGTAATTATCCTTGAATTCTGAACTGAACTAATTTTGGTCTGCTTCTTGAAAAAAGTTTCTAATTATTGTTGCTGGACTAGATCCAGGGAGGGTACTTCACTGCAGCTACTTACTTGGGTCTGTGGTGGTGATCGTGGCGATTCCCTTAAAATCACATGACCCAGCTACCTTGCCTTCCTTCTGGTAGTAGCTATCGAACGCATAGGAAGCATGGCTCTTTACGTTGTTGGGTTGGTAACAGTTCTCCCCTGGCTGAATGTCTGAGCAATTCGCCTCTCCCGGCCCACATGCCCAATCGAGAGCAGCCTGCAACGTCTTCGTGTCCACTCCGTCCATCGCCACGCAGTACGTCTGGTTCGTCGTGTCGTTTGCCAAGAACGTTCCAATTCCGGACACATGTAGCAAGTATGCCGGCGTTGTGTTCCCGTAGAATAGCCCCCAACTCCCCTCCGACACGGGCGGCGACCTCAAATCTTCGTTAAATAGCTCGTAGATATATACGCTGGAAGTGAATTCCGGGTGGAACGGGGTTCCGCTCCGGTCGAAAACATGCTTAATCAGATTCGAATTGTACGTGTCCGCGTTGTCGATGGTAGCGTAAGGCTCGTTCGAGTCCCCTTTCGATGGCCAGCCGGACTCCGTCACTAGAACTACGACGTCTGTGATATTGAGATTCTTCATGGAGAAGTACGCAGCGTCGATCATGGCATCAAGTACACTGGTGTAGTGAAGCAAGGTGTTGGGATCGACCATTTCTTTGGAAGGAGTTAATGGCTTGAAGAGCGAATTATCCAGAGGCACGACCCCTTTATTCTGCATGAACACATAGTAAGGGTAGAGGTTCATCATGAGAGGAGAACCCGTTTTCGATAAGAATTGAATCAGAGGGAGGATGAATGGAACGAGAGATTGGTTGAAGAAGGCCTGGGATGGGGGAAATGGATCGAGGATGATGGACGCGGCATGGGGCGTCGAAATTTTGATCTGGGCATGGAGATTCGAGGCCACTAGAGCACTGTACAGCGACTGAATTGAAGGGAGAAGAAGAGGAGCCGATGAGGGGACGGTGGTCAAGACCTCATCGCCAACCGCGATGCCGGTAATGAGGGTTTCCGGGTAGAATGCAGCGACATTGCGACCGACCCAGGCGGCCGCGGTGGCATTCGATGAGCCGATAGCAAGGAGCTGATTATTGGGAATGCCGACGATGACACGGATTTTGGTGCGAGCGAGAGCTCGAAGAATGTCGGTGTTGGCGTCGTAGAGGCGGATGTGGGTGATCTTCTGTAATTGAAGAAACGAAACCAGATCAGTGGGAGACAAGAAATTGGAGACGTCGCTGCCGATGTTTACTCCAACAAAAGGTTGGTCGTCATCTTCCTTGAGCTCCGCTACCAGTGCTGCTTCTGCTGCAAAAACCCAGAAAGAGAAATGAGAAAGTTGCTGTCTTCGATGATGAATCTTACCTGAGTTGGGAGTATAGTTTGTTTTACCTACTGCAATCAAAACAGTAAACAAAACAAGCAAGAGTAGAGACATGCGAGTGGTAGGTCGGTTATCTAGTTTAGAATCCGCCATTAATGAGAGCCTCGAGCTTTACTCGTTCGTCATTTTCATCTGGTTCAGCTGCTGATCCTTGCATTATCTTCGAAAATCTTCGTTTTTTGTCAAAAAAAAGAAAGAAAAAGAAAAGAAACTTTCTTGGTCTCACAAAAGAGGGAAGACCGAAGACAGAAGGACACCCACGAGATCTACAGTCACGAAGGGGGAAGTTAAAGGGAAGACGATGAAATTCCAGCTTTCTTATTATTATTATTATTATATTTTTGGTTTTTTAATTGACGACATTCAAATGGGATCCGATGGGGGATGAAAAAAAAAAAACTGCGCATTTTAGCAGTTGGTTACTATCTCATCTGTCGCGAACTGGTGAATTATTGTACTCTCTTTCTCCACAGATAGCTTCTTTAAATGACGAAATTACCCTACATGGCCGACAAAAAGAAAAAAAAAATGATGACATGTCATGCCACTTACTTAAGGGTGATTTGGTAAATTCAAGTTTGTTTTTGTCAATTGCATGGCTCTTTGAAGTTGCAAAGATTGGTTGGGTGAATGGCAAGCACTGGCTGGTCTCTTAACTTGGCATTTGACTTTAAGGTATGTTGCGCGCGTCTTGCGCGAATAAGTATTAAGTAGTTTGAAAAATAAGTATTTATTTTGAATTACTTATTAATGTTTGGGTCCTCTCTCCCAAACTCGGTACAATTATTTTAATTGTGAGCCACTTAATCAATTATTATTTAAAAAAAAACAATTATAACCCTAAATTAATGAATACATATATGCAAGCTGCCAATCACGCTGATTGGTAAGATCTCCTCTAATTGTAGTAGAAACTTGGATGTTAGTTTCAAAATAAAAAATGAATACATACATACATATAGTTTTAATATATTGGTCATTTAATAGAACATCCCCTATAGTTTTATAGATTTACTTAAACTTATCCTATAATTTACATTTTACTATAGCACCCCTTATAGTTTGATCTTTCATTTGGAATTATTTGTTTTGCCATATGAAAATAGTAATATGGTCACATAAATTAAGTGGAAAATGTTTAAGGGCATAAGCTCATTGATGATGCGCAATCTGGTGTTTCTCATGTGTCTGATGACTTAGACGTCGAATTGGATACTTGCCTTGTTGGTGGCCGAGCTAAGGCTGACCAAGTTGTATTGTTCTACAAGAGAGAGTTAGAGTGCCCGGGTTATTTGTACTCGGGGTGGGTACTCCAATGCTTAAGTCAGCGATGAATTTTTAGGAATTCTTGAAGATTTAGAGAGTGAGAGAGCTCAATCGCATGTACCCTCTCAGGTGAAAATGAGTGCTTTATATAGATGTGAGTGACCTGAGACCTTTTGCAACGGGTCTCAAGTTCTCGCGGAGCTGTTTCCATTCTCTTGGGAGAATAATTATGTCGGTTGCATAATATGCGCAGGGGTTGTGGTCCGTCTAATTAACTCTGATGCATGCGATGTGGTAGGTTGGCCTAATGGTCGATTCATTGGTACTCCGGAGATCTCGTATTGGCAACGAATCTATGAGACAAGTCAACAGGTTCACCCTACAGGTTGCCAAAGGTACTTCTCGTAGCTCGGTCAGTCTCTGAAGTAGGTCGCTATTTGCTGGAAGACCTATTAGGCCAACCTGGCTGAGGTATTTAAGGTATGCCTGAGCGAGGTGCTACAAGCTGACTTGTTGAGGTGACCCGCTTACTCAGCGCCAAGGTGTCACTTGAAAGCCACATGTCGCATTGTAATTCAAAGGACTAAATTACCCCTCATCACTCATTGTTATTCCAAAAATACCTTTCAAATGAGTGAAAATTGTTCAAGGGTATGGATCCATGGTTGTTTATTCCAAAAGTACACCTAACACTTTTTTGTATAGAAAACAAAATTGACCAAATAGAGAAAATAGAGTGATTGTCCATATTTTACTAGGGGCAAAAATGGTATTTTTGTTTTTAGTTTCTTTTGATTAAATTTATTTGAATGGATATTAGTGTTAAAAATCAATTTCCACTTTCATCTAACCAAAGGTTGATTAAGTAAATTGATTGCAAACTATAGGGGATGTTTCAGTAAAACACACACTATAGGGTATGTTTTAGAAACTATAGGGGTGTTTTAGTAAATGACCCTATATTAAACTATTTCAATGAAAATGACAATTGTAACCTTCACGGGTCCATGTATATTAAATAATTTATTTTATATAAAAATACAATAAATAACTTAAAATAATTTCTTGTAATAATAATAATATAGAAGTAATTTTATAGAAGTATATTTTTATAATGATGATGATGATGATAATAATAATAATAATAATAATAATAATAATAATAATAATATTATTATTATTATTATTATTATTATTATTATTTTTTCATGATTAATCCAAAAGATATATAAACTAAAATCATAAGCAAATATTAGCAAGTTAACCACAATTTCTACTTGCATAAATCAGATTTTAACATTTTCATAAAAATCACTACTAGGAATGGTATATAATTGATCATATATATGTAAACAAAAAGGAAAAATGAGAAAAAAAAAAAGAGCTTAGAACTCACCATTGAAGAGGCCACTACCGAGTGCTGGCTAGTTGTGTTTGCCTCTTTTGCAAACATAGCTCTAGCAGAAAGTGGAAAAAAAAAAGTTAGAACCCACCACACTATAATTACAACTCAAAACAATGAGCAATAAAAAAAGGGATTATAATAGACACATGCAACTTTTGGCCCTTAATATCAATAAAAGTAATATATTTAAAAAATTTTCAAAAATAGGTTAACTTTTTAAAAATAATATCAGTTAAAGGCAAAAATATTGTTCATTTTCTTCCTCTTGCAATCCATTCACCGGTGCCGCCACCCGCTGCCACCTCCGGCAATGCCTCTGCCTATCCCCACCACCTCCGCTCCACCTCCACCTCCGCCTCCGGCAACATTGCTGGAGGTGGGCGGAGGAAGAGGCGGGGGCGGCGACCCTAGTACGGCTATTCACAGGTCGGATTGGGTTGGCTTACTAGTGTTTTTTCAACTGACCTAACCTGGTCAAGTTACTTATAGATCAAACCGAAACCGACCCTCTATTAAGTAAAACCGACCTTGTCAGTTTGGGTTTCAACCAACTCCAAACATGCACAATGCACGTGAAGTCAAAGTGCTAATATTATATATAATATTTCAAAATGTATTTTCTGGAAATATATATTTAAAACCAAAACATATATACAAATATATCAAAATATATATTTTCTAATTTCTAGAAATATATATTTCGGAAACATATATCTGATATATTTCAGAATATATATTTTTCAGATATATATTTATTATTTAAAACTAAAATAGCTATATTTAACAGATATTTTTTCACATAACTCGGTTCGGTTTTGGTTTTTCACATATGAAAATCGAAACCAAACCGAATTATCGGTTTGTTTACCTTTGCAACCCGAAACCGACCGGTAGTGAAGAAAGACCGGCCAACTCGGGTTGGATTGGGCCGGGTTGGTCGGTTTGGATTTATTTGTGAAAAGCCCTAGGCACTGGTGGTCATTCCTCTGCCCAACACCACCACCTCTGCCCACCTCCACCTCCATCTCCAACAACGTTGCTGGAGGTGGGTGGAGGCAGAGGCGGCAGCGGTGCTGGTGGGCGAAGGTGGCAGCGTAGGGTAGAGGAATGACCACCAGCGATGCCGCCGCCGCCGCCTCTGCCTCTGCCCACCTCCGGCAACGTTGTCGAAGACGGAAGCGGGGGGTGGCGGCGTTGGGCAAAGGAATGACTACCAGCGCCGCCGCCACCGCCTCTACCTCTGCCCACCTCTGACAACATTGCTGGAGGTGGAGGCGGAGGTGTTGCGAGAGGCGGCAACGCCGGTGAATGAATTGCAAGAGGAAGAAGACGAACAGTGTTTTTGCCCTTAACTAATATTATTTTTAAAAAGTTAACCTATTTTTGAAAATTTTTTAAATATATTACTTTTATTGATATTAAGAATCAAAAGTTGCCATTATCTACTATAATCTCATAAAAAAAGGGGGAATTTCACTTACCTGAAACCATGAAATCCTCACGCCTATGCTTGAGTTCACCGCTGCCACCTTTGATTCGCAAGGATGGAAAAGACGTACGATAGGGTTTTCTCTATAAAGAAGGGCAATGTGGGTATTTTTAATTTTTTGGGGGCAGTTTTGTTCCACCAAAAAAACTTATTATATAAGACTTAAAATAAAATTCGCAAGGATGGAAAAGACGTAAGATAGGGTTTTCTCTATAAAGAAGGGCAATGTGGGTATTTTTAATCTTTTCGGGGCAGTTTTGTTCCACCAGAAAAAACTTATTATATGACTTAAAATAAGTTGGTCTAACGCTGCTAATTTTTTAAGTACTTATTTAGCCCTTTTGCCAAATATGAATAAATATTTATTTTTCACTTATTGTATGATTTCACCATTTATTTAAGTGAGCCAAACAGGTGGTTATTATGCAGTCCCACTAATTTTAAATAGTTACTAAATAAATGTTTATTTTAAGTATACCAAGCAGGAATAAGTTAATATTGACCAGATTTCCTACTCACTTTTTCTGCTCATTCTTTATCCGTCTAATAAGAAAAGTGAATAGGAAATCCCGTTTGATAGAAATTTTGAATTGAGGACAGAAATTACCTGCAAAGTGCAGTTTGGACTGGGTTTATTGAATAAATGATTATTTTAAGTATACCAAGCAGGACTAAGTTAATATGGTAGAAATTTTGAATTGTGGACAGAAATTACCTACCAAAGTGCAGTTTGGACTGGGCCTGGCACAGCAGAGGCTATAGTGCGAGGGCAACTATTTGGCCGCAGGATGCTACACTCGTCTTTACACCCCCTTGAGGTGATCAACATGAGTTCAATCTAGTGGTTTGCTATATGTTGTGATAAAGTGATGCATGTTACACTTTGAAATTTATTTGTTTGTCAGAAAGAAGAGAGTGAAATTATTAAAATTTAAATTTAAACCAATAAGGTATTCGGCTGGTTGTAGTGGAGATTTGGGTTCGAATCCCAACCGCACCAAGGTCGGGGTTGTATATTTGAGGGATGAATTACATGAAAATGAAAAAAATCACAGTTTAATAATATAGTACATATTTATATCTGTACTTTTTCTAAATTGAATCTAAACAAATTACAGTCGAATTGAATCATGAATTCAAGGGTTTATATATAATTTGAAGTTTGGACAACTAATATTATAGGGGAGCAAGTTTTGTTAGATTAAGTTGGATTGAAGATCAAGAAGTTCCTCAACCCTAATCCAATGCAGAGGTGATATCGGTTAGGTTGGCCTCCTATGGTCAGATCTTTTACTTCCTTTTGCTTTTAAATAAGTTCTTAATTTAAGTATATATGAAAATAATGTTATATGTGGTTATTCATGTATAATATAGTTAAAATGATTAACCTTTAAATTTAGAA